CCAGAGTTACATGGTTATATTATGGAGGTCTTCCACTAAACAATCCTAAAATCTGAGGATAAAAGCCTTTTTTTTTTTCACGTATCAAAATGCCTTGTGTAGCATGTAACGGAGACTTATATGTTATTAAATTGCAGCGGCGAGTGATAAGAAACTCAGGCGACCATTCTGTTAGGATGTCATACAGCAAGTTTTTTTTTCTTTCTCTATTCCTGTCTAATAAGTTTGCTATGGCAGTTATGTATAGATAATGTACACACATAGAAACATGATGCAGGTCTCCCACATGATGGTGTTGGTAGAGAGATTCTTGACACGGACATTACAGAGAAAATTATCAAGATTATTAAGGACTTTTTAAAATCATTTAGCAAGTATGTTTTACAATAAAGGTTTTACTAATAAAGTGCCAGTATAGAGCACTAAGTGTTAGGCTGGGACCACAGATTATTGCCCACATATTATACAGTGAACCTGTTAGTTTCTTTCCTTAGTCAGTCATATCTGTTTGTTTGTTTTTTATTTTCTATTGAACTTCCTATGATGGTTACATGGACAGTTACTAGTAAATGTTGTAACACCTAAATTCACACACAAAATGGGGTGATTATTCTTCAGTTGATCACTACGACCCAGCACCCATATATTGTAGTCAGTTAGGTTAGTCCTTAACCTAACCCAAGTGACCTCATTAACTTATGTTTTATTATATTTCAAATAAAGTTATTGGGTTTATGTTGTATTTTTGTGTCCTGAATACGAACATTCAATGGCTGACTTCTAGTCCAGTCATCTATGCACTAAACCCAACACTAATTCCAACAGTAATGTATCTGGTATAATTTTATAGGAAATTGTATTCTTAACATATTAAAAATTAACCAAAATCAGACGAGTGGAACAGTTTAATTTTTAGGTGGTTTTGATGAGGTGAGGTGAGGCGAGAAACTTGACACTATATTTTTGGCTCTAACTCCGATATAAACATGTACCGTATAGCACACTTATTAATAAACTGATTGATATATCTCTATTTACTTTTCTTTTATGTTCTTAAGCAATTGGTGGTCTATTTTGCTTCAATTTTTATTTTTAAAAGTAAAAAGAAACTGAAGAAATATTGCTACAGCAGAAAATATACAGATTCATACAACTTATTTATATTTTGTCAATCCCTAAAACAACTGTACAAGAGTAACTGAACAACAGATCTACAACTTTTGGCCTAAAATGTCCTGATAATTCTACGTCTTCTTGAGGTACATAAACAACATGACGGTTGTGTACAGCTTAAGTTTATCATCTTTTACACATTACATTTTTCTGCCAAAACACTTATTATCTTGGCCTTCATGATTAGCATTATATATACAGTTGTACCCCACTTAACGCGGTCAATAGAACCCAGAGGGTCCCATGTTAAGTGAACAACAGAACATATGGGATTAATTCCAATAGAAACCGGCCCGACCCCCAAACTCCACTTTTTGAAGACACATAACTATGTTGTAGTAAAAATAACATCTTAATTTTATGATGGTACATGCACACAATTAATACTTAAGAGAAATAGAGAAATACAGTCGCCAAGTTAATGTCCATTCAAATAATGGACTCAACTCCCTCCCCCTCTCACACTACACTGCCGGCTCTTCCCTCTCCGAGAAATTTTTGGGGGAAAACCACTAAATTTTAATAAATAATACCTCAAACTAAAGTTAGGATAATATAATTGACATTGCTGGATTCCTTGTAAGACCAGGAATATTTTGAATATAAATGTCATATATTTTGCACAAAAGATAACAGTTACCCAGAGAAAAAATGTTATCTAAAATTTGTATGTCTAATGCAAAATATATGATGTTTATATTCAAAATGATCACCAAATTATAAGAATTCCAGCAATGTAAATTATATTCTGACCGGGTAATTTGTATGAATTTTATGAGCTAAAACAAATATCTTCAGTTAATAAAAAAAAAATATTCTTCACAGGGTAACAGATGGTCGGTCGGTCCCTCCCTCCCCCCCACCCCCCACCAACCGTCCCAAGGAGATGTGTGGGAAAACCAGAATACTTAACTTTTTTGTAATAAATAATACCTCAAACTAAAGTTAGGATAATATAATTGACATTGCTGGATTCCTTGTAAGACCAGGAATATTTTGAATATAAATGTCATATATTTTGCACAAAAGATAACATATTTACTCAGAGTAAAATTTTATCTAAAATTTGTATGTCTAATGCAAAATATATGATGTTTATATTCAAAATGATCACCAAATTATAAGAATTCCAGCAATGTAAATTATATTCTGGCCGGGTAATTTGTATGAATTTTATGAGCTAAAACAGGCAGTCAGCCAGGGTGGCGGGTGGGGCAAATCTAAAAATAGCATCTGGAGCCGGACACTCACCGCGTATATGTGGAAAAAATCCGTGTTAAGTGAAAGTTCAGTTCTGGCGAGGCACCGCGTATATGATAAAATGCGTTAAGTGAAACCGCGTTAGGCGGGGTAATACTGTACAGTGACCCCTCGGTTAACGAACTCAATCCGTTCCAGAAGGTCGTTCGTTAACCGAAAAGTTCGTTAACCGAAACCATTGTTTCAATGGGTTTTTGGGTAATTGGTTCCAGCTCACCGAAAATTTCCTAAATTCAACAAAAATGGTAGAAAAGTTCACTTACTTTGAGGTGTGTATGTAGAAGGCTCCTGGATGATGATGATGATGATGATGGGAATTAGAATGGGGGTGGAGGAGAGGGAAGAAGAGAAGGCATTGGGGTGGAAGAGAAGTCACCCCATGGCACCATTTCACCTACAAAAATTTTAGTTCTCTTGGTGTATTTCAAGATTATTTTCTTTAAATCAACACTGCACTGCATTATATATTGTCAATATGTAAAATATATTTCAAAATTACTAATAATTTGCTTGGAAACACAGAAAAAAGCGTTTAGTTGAAGAGTGTCTCAAGCAAGATGTTACCTCCAGTGAAAACAGAAAGAGACTAACACCTGTCTGGTGTGTTAACAGGCTGGATGGCACGCCAGAAACTAGTTTCTTTACCTTCAATTATGTTCAATAATTGTTAAAATTACTAAAAAAGTAATATTAAACTTTTAAGATTATTGAATAGTATAAACTTCTTGATATTTACTAAAATAGTAAGGAACTTAAGCCCTAAAACCGATTACTGTATTGGCGGACTGATACTACAGCTGGTTGCCCGGTCAGTGCAAGCAAAAACATGTTGAGGTCGGTTCGTAAGAAATTCGTTAACCGAATTTTTGTTCGTTAACCGAATTGAAGATCCTTATGGAAGGCAGTTTGTTAACCGAAATTTCGTTAACCGAGGCGTTCGTTAAACGAGGGGTCACTGTACGTAGAATATTAAAACACGAGTAAATGAGACAGCATTGCTTTCGTGGATTAAAAACCAGTGACTGACTGGTTCTACATATAAAACTGAAGAAAATAAGACCTTGGTTGTAGCTGTAGTACAATTAATATGGTAGTTTTAAGTAATGTTATTTTATGTTAATAAATGGAACAAAAGAAGTAGCTAACGATAATGGTAAAGAAAAAAGAGAGATCGTGTTTGTAAGTGCACACACGTGAAAACATATCGTCATTACTTTAAAATAAGAATATAAAAGCAACACTTATTTACTGTTCATATATATTTTAATTAATGTTTCTGAATTTGTTTATATTGAATTAATGTTTGTGTGTGCAAAATGAACAATACAATTTATTCATAATACATGGAATATTAAAACACACGAGGAGACGAGACGGCTACCGGCATTGTTTTTGTTAAAGCTTACAAAACCAGTGACTGATTGGTTCTACATATAAAACTGAAGAAAATAAGACCCTGATTGAAGCTGCAGTAAAATTAATGTAAAAAAATTAATATGGTTGTTTGAAGTACCTGTAATGTTATTCAATGTAATAAATGGAACAATATAAGTAGCTAACCATTAATGGTAAAAAAAAAAAGAGACTGCGCATATGTAAGTGCGCTCATGTGAAAACATATCCTCATTACTCTACATAAGAATATGAAAGCAACACTTATTTACTGCTCATATATATTGAAGGGTTAAATGTTGTACTCTGTATAGACAAGCAGAGAGAGAGAGAACAGCCGAACTGCAGGATGTAAACAAACCTTAATTTCCCGAGGCTTTGTGGTTGTTTTTTTACGGGGATTAGCCCACCAGGGCATAGGTCACTGACCCACATTAGGGCCTGAGGGGCAAAAATTTAATATTCCTGTAATAATAATTCAGATAAGTTTAAAAAAAAAAAAAAAAAAAAAAAACCTGCCTATCTACCTTTTGGGCAAACTAAAATCGTTCCGGACCACGGGAGTTTCCGGACCACAGAAGGCCGGACTAGAGAGGTACTTGTACAACCTGTAGTAGTAGTAGTAATGTGTGTGTGTGTGTGTGTGTGTGTGTGTGTGTAATAATAATAATAATAATAATTAACAGTTTATTGAAAGAGCATGGCAGCCAGAAGGATGAAAATATACAGTTACATAATTAGGGAATGGGTCACTTGATTCACACATAATATACAAGTAACACAAGTGATATAAATATAATATATAATAACTAGGTGGGGAGAAGGTCATACTACAGGGCATTTCAACATAGTGACAGTTCAAAAAGGTAAGATTGGCTGGGAGTGAACACACTGGTTTACTACGAGTTGTTGATAATTTTTACAATGGTTGGGACTGGGCTGTTCTTATAGCAATCAGTACGTGCTCGTATGGGCTGGGCGCGGTTGTGGTGTCGAACAACAATTCGTGGACGAGGGATCTTGGGTGGAAGTAAGAGCCGGTGTCGAGGATGGTGCAGAACTTCTCACCAAATTTGCAGATGAGGTCGTGGTGATGGTCAGTGAGAGCCGAGAGGGTCAGTGTGTTGAGCGCTTCTTCATACGTGAAGTAGGAAAAGGAGAGAATAATCTTGCACTTTTTCTAGGTGTTTATGTTGTGTGGCATTTAGGGAGGAAGACCAGGCAGGGGAGGCATAGGTGAGCTTAGGAAGTACGAATATGTGTGTGTGTGTGTGATGTTCTTTATGGCAGGAGACTGCACTCAGTGTGGTACTGAATGAAGCAATATCCAAGACACAGAGGCACATGTGACTTGTATCCCTCTTACAGCCGTGCCTCAGGTGTAACAGCAGCCGTCTCCTGTCCGGGATTCTCTTTCGGCTGTGTTGCATCAAGGCGTCGGACTGTATCCAAAACTTTACGTCGCTTGGCCTGTGGACCTTGTCAATTCCTTGCCTGAGATGCAGCTGAAGGTGTGGCAGAGGGGCCAGGAGCCACCAATGGAGCAGTGGTGGTGGCAAGTGTTGTAGCAGCTGTGGCAGGTGTTGCAACAGTGGAGATGTTCGACAGGTGCCTGGCAGCCACGGGCAGTTGTTATGACTTATGAGTGTCAGTTGTATTCCAGTCTCTACAGAATAAACATGTCACTCGCCACTCAATTCTCCTTACTCCCAGACACTGTACAAGGTTTAATATTTTATTATAATCTTATCATGTTATAATAATTCATTAATATATGTACAGCCACTAAAAAAATTAACATTCCTGGGGAAGGGAGGGGAGGAGGAAATGAATTTCAGAATGAATACTGTCACTCAGTTGTTTCAGTAGCGTCATAATATTTTCATCCGTTACGTCCCATTTTCTCTCACAATTTTGTAAAGATTGATTTTAGAGCAACCAAGGTTGAGTCTACCATGACTAACAATAACAGTAACAGTTTCAGAATTCTTCCTTAACAAATTCTAGTTCTTCCAGGCACTCCATCTTTAAAGAAGATTGGTCAATTATCTCAGGCCCTGGTGAAGCTTCTGTCTCACAAATGACTGAGAGTGGATCATAATTAGTTTCCTTTTTCACTCCTTCAGAAACACACATCTCCACTGTTGGTTGGCAAGACAAGCTCAAGTCATGGTGCAAATCCTGGCAACTTTCACCTTCATAATGATGAGAGTTGACCACTTGGTCAGTCTGGTAACATCTCTCCACATGTAATATTAAACTCTCTTTCTCTTTAAAGTCTTTCATGCATCTTACACAGTGGAAAGGTTTTTCTGAGTGAACTTTCTTGTGTCTTACTAGGTTAGACCTTTTAGAAAAGCCTTGATGACATTCAGAACACTGATAAGGTTTCTCTCCTGTATGAATTCTCATATGTCTCACTAAAGCATCTTGTCTTTTGAAGCCTTTAATACATTCTGTACATTGAAATGGTTTATCTCCTGAATGTGTTCGCATATGTGTTGTTAAGTTACATTTAAGTAAAAAATCTTTAAAACATTTTGTACACTGATAAGGTTTCTCTCCTGTATGAACTCTCTGATGAATTATGAGAGAAGATTTCTGTGAGAAACTTTTAATACATTGTGAACACTGATAAGGTTTCTCTCCTGTATGAACTCTCTCATGATTTATAAGAGAAGTTTTATGTGAGAACCTTTTAGAACATTCTGAACACTCAAATGGCTTCTCTCCTGTATGAAGTCTAGCATGTCTCTCTAAATCACCTTGTCTTTTAAATCCTTTCAAACATTCTGAACACTGGAAAGGTTTCTCTCCTGTATGAATTCTCTCATGATTTATGAGAGAAGTTTTATGTGAGAACCTTTTAATACATTCTGAACACTGATAAGGTTTCTCTCCTGTATGAACTCTCTTATGATTATTGAGTGAAGATTTAACCGAGAACCTTTTAAAACATTCTGTACACTCATATGGTTTCTCTCTTGTATGACTTCTCATATGTGCTTTTAAGTGACTTTCTTGTGAAAAGCCTTTAAAACATTCTGAACACTCAAACGGCTTCTCTCCTGTATGATCTTTCACATGTGTTACTTGATGTGATTTTACAGACAATTCTCTGGGAGACTCTGACTGTTCCTCTGAGTGACCTTCCATTATAAAACTGTGTGTATTGTGTGTTCAAAGGTTTTAGTGACACTTAACTGGCAAACTGTTTCCTCCTACAAGAACTATTAATGTCTTGTTACTGTTAATTATATTTGACAATTAAAACTGAAACATAAATCAATTAGTGAATGTGATTTACTGACACTGATGTAATGATGCTGAGATGGGAGGACAGTGAGGAGGTAAGTGTGATGGAAGATCCAGTTTGTGATGTGACTACACCATTATTAACAAGGTTCCTCTATACCTCTTTGAACTAAATGTGAAAAATGGTGTAAAGAATGAGTTACACATATAACTGTACATGTCATTAACATACACTGTTTATGACTTACAACACACACTATAAAAACACTCAACAGGGAAGTGTACAAAAATTATATACTGTACACTATTGTTATATGTACAGTTCCTCTGATGTACAGTAAACAATAATACTCAGGCTGATATACTACTGTACTTGTGATGGCTGGCAAACAATAATACTCATGCTGATATACTACTGTACTTGTGATGGGTGGTAAACAATAATACTCAGGCTGATATACTGCTGTACTTGTGATGGCTGGTAACAATAATACTCAGGCTGATATACTACTGTACTTGTGATGGCTGGTAAACAATAATACTCAGGCTGATATACTGCTGTACTTGTGATGGCTGGCAAACAATAATACTCATGCTGATATACTACTGTACTTGTGATGGGTGGTAAACAATAATACTCAGGCTGATATACTGCTGTACTTGTGATGGCTGGTA